CCCCTCTTTTTTTCTGCCAGTCAGTGATTTCTCTGCCTGTGTCCTGCCAGCTTCAGTGGTTTCTCTTCCTTTCTTCTGCCACAATTGATGGTTTCTCTCCCTTTGTTCGTGGGTGGTTGGCGGGTGTTCTGGTGTGGTTTGCTCCTTTTTTCCTATAGAAAATCTGTCTTCTCTATCTCCCTTCCTTCTTGTTTGTGTTTGTCACTCTCTTGTAACCCGTCTAATCTTCGGCACTTCTATGACCTTACTGTGTTGCCACTAAAACTAAATCTGCTGTTTGAGTATTCAGAATCTGACAATTTGTTGTTGTTGTTGTTGTCGTGGTTGTTCCCCCTCTGACAAAGCCTATCAGGTCACCCCCTATATACCAGGCGAAAGAACTCTGAAAAAGAAGGAAATTTGACAAGGGCTTTATTGTTCGGAAACTTGATAACTTATTGTTGTTGTTGTTGTATGTCTGTGCGGGCGCCGTAAAACCTCTACTAGTGCGTGCTCTGGTGTGGTTTGCCTCTTCTTTCCTATCAAACATCTATCGTCTTTATCTCTCCTTTTTCTATTTTATGTTTGTTTCTCTAATCTTTAGGCTTTCATATGACCTTATGCAGTTGCAAGCGCCAAAAAAACCTCTACTAAAACAATAAAACAAACCTCTGCTAAAACGAAACTCTTGTAACACCTCTAATCTTCAGCACTTCTATGACCTTATTGTGTTGCAAGTGCCGTAAAACTTTTGCTAAAACTAAACTGTTGTGGTCATTTGCCCTCAGACAAAGGGAGCAAAGAGGCGTTTGAGAGCGTGCAGGACGGCTACCGCATGGAGAAGCCCGACTTCTGCCCTCAGGAAGTCTACGACGTGATGCTCACCTGCTGGCAGTCCAACGCTCACTCCCGGCCCTCCTTCGACTTCCTCAACACATTTCTGCACGACTTCGAGAGCTGACACGCTGACGCGATGGACACGAGACATTTCTGCAGGACTTCGAGAGCTGACACGCTGACGCGATGGACACGAGACATTTCTTCCTGTATACTGCGCCGCACCCCCTACCAGAGGCCACCCGCCAGCCACCCACCTGCCCGCTCACCCTTCCGCCTTATCATCCTCTTTTCTTTCTCTCTCTCTCTCTCTCTCTCTTTCTCTCTCTCTCTCTCTCTCTCTCCTCCCTCTCCCCCTCTCTCTCTCCTCTCCCTCTACCCTTCTCTCTCTCTCTCTCTCTCCCTCCCTCCCTCCCACACTAAAGCGGCAGTTCTTGCCTCGGAAGTCGGCGACGTCTAGCATAGTTGGGGGCGTGTTGGAAACTTTTGTACCAGGTGTCGTGGAGAGGCCCCGGCATATAGAGGTTGTTTTTGCTGGGTCGCAGGCATATGTGTGTGTGACCCTTGACCTTAGGGAAAGGCTGCAGCAGCAGTGTTTTGTTGATGGTGCTGTGTGTGTGTTTGAGAGAGAGAGAGAGAGAGTTGGGTGTGTGAGTAATGGGATGAGTGTTGTGCGTTTGTGAGTGTGTGTTTGAGAGAGAGAGAGTTGGGTGTGTCTGTGTGCGTGTGCAGAGTTGTTTGCATTTGTACTGGTATGCTTTTTCTGAGGGCATCAGTACGCACGCTGTATGTATGCACATGCTTTTTTGATAACTGAGTTCTGGTACTGGCTACGTTGGCATGTTTGTGATTGTATGGATGTGTGTGTTTGTTTATTTGTGTGTGTGTGTGCATCCTGCTGCAGCCAACGTCGCACTACAGAGAGAGAGCTGTGGTCAGCATGGAAGGGATGCTGGCGGTGGTGGTCATTCAGTGGTCAGTTACCGCGACAAAACTGTCCCTGTCCCCCCCCCCCAAGTCCATCAGCTGACCTCTTCGCATCTACGTGAAAAAGATCTGAGAATCAAAAAACACAAGAAGACAAACTTTGGGTCACTGTGCGTAGGAGCGCCACACAGAAATACGACGCAATGTGGGAGGCTGACCTTGTTTGTGACCCGCTCCTCCCCGTGTGGGCCGCCTCCACGATTGGCCGGCCATACCAGGATGGATTATAATATTCGATTTTCGTCGCAGAAGTTTTGGTGGGTTTTTTTTTTCTTTTCGATTTGGCGCCAGAGGCCGCGTTGACTTCGGAGGCGTCTGTTTCTCAGAAGATTCGAACTGGGATTTGTACCCATATCTCCTCTTCCTGGAGTGAACTCACAAGAAGACTGTGTGTGTGTGCGCGGGTGCACGCGCGTGTGGTGTACGGGAGCAGAATTTTCTGCCCCACTCTGCGTATCGCAGAAGCTGAACATGACAAAAGGACGAATTTTTGCAATATTGGAACTTGCAAAAAAGAAGGAATACGTTTCTTTTTTTCTCTATATATAAATTAAAGAATTACTTGTGTGTTGTTGAAGTTCAGCGAATTCTTTGGGCATGTCTGAACTCTGTACATATACAGCAATGTCAAGGGCATTTGTGAATATTTCATTTTGTTGTTGTTTTTGTTACTTGTGTTCATGGGTGTGCCAGGCTGGGTCTGAGTTGTTTTATACCTCTCCCTCCTTGTTTCGTTTGTGGCACTTGCATGACCAAAATGCCTCGATCGCTGTCTAAAACAAATTCCCCCCCCCCCCAACTCT